ATAACAATCCATTCTGTCACATACATTGTATTATTTTAATTCTTTACTCTGAATGCGGGTCAGATTTACTACGCCGTTAAAAAAAACAAAGTTAGAGGGTTCAAGGCGTGAAATACTCCATTATATTATTTAATCGTTTTTTATTGCATTTCCAATACTTACCGTTTGAATTTCGTTTAGACAAACGGAATTAATTGTTGTCCCTTGCTATTTTAAGACTCCATGCGTGATACCGAATGTTTTATACATAGTGCATCTATGGCAGTTTAAATGTTGTCAACATGACAAATGACAAGTGCCTCCATTTTCATCACTATGCACGATGAATGATTATTAATTGCAAAACCCATTGTACATTGTTAAAAAAATCCTTTTGTATAAAAATTGCTTCATACAACATGTCGAACTTAGTAATTATATAAATGCTATTTTGTACGCACGGCTATCAATCATTACCTTGGCATACATATAATTGGCCATTTTTATTGGTATGTTTTCGAATTTAAGTAATAATCTCTAAGGAGGGAGGCCTTAAAATAACTATTTTTTTTATTATAATTCAGCCCGATGGCATTCGTGTCCCGCTTTCTCTATTTCTCTCTCTCTTTCTTTCTTCATGGAAACAGTCTCTTTTATCTTTGCTTCCTTAGCAACCTACCATTCAGTTGATTCTTGAGTTCTTTTTTTGTCCCCACGGATCACACATTACGTCAAGATGTCTCAAAGCTGCTTCTAAGGTTTAAGCATTACGTTAAGCTCTTAATAACTGTGTTTTTATTATTTTTAATCGTTTTTTTTTTAAATTATTTTTAGTACTGGAGAAGCCACACAAGCCGATATCTCGGGCACTTTTTACATGTAGGCCTACCAATCATAGTTGATCTTAACAGGTCTGTTTGTTAGACTCGTGCGTTCTTTAGAGTGCATTCCCAGAGATTTAGATCGATCCATCCGGATCGACCTAACTCCCTGGGTGTTCACGCTAAATCGCAGTCAGCCGAGTGCGCACGACAGTTAATTACCCCTTACAGCTTTTAGTAGGCGGGACAGACGCTTAAGCCGGCTAAGCTGACAGTAAACTAGATGGGGTCTAAGGGCGCATTCCCATAGATTTTAGATCGATCTATCCCCGTGGGGAGTCTCACTAGATTACTGTCAGATAATCCGGCTTAAATGTCCGTCCTGCCTTCTACAAGCTGTAAGGGGGTGATTAACTTTCGTGCCCGCTCGGCTCACAGCTATTTAGCGCGAACCCCCAGGGAGTTAGGTCGATCTAGTTGGATCGATCTAATCTCTGGGAATGGGGTCTTAGACTTTTATTTTCTGCCTCGGTCTAAGTAGTCTACAGAGCGAAATAGGACTGGTCATTACTGTATATTAAGGAGTGCAGTCAAGCAATGAATTTTTGGCGGTCTGCAATCAAATGCTTTCCTGTCTGACTACATACTGAGGACACACTGTGAATAGGCATATACACGGCTGAACCGACACAAGACCAGCTTTGACATTGCTCACAATTTGTTTTCTGTCAATAAGAAGCACGTGCGTTTTTTTTCCTTCCCATTCTGTACGGTACGCCTTTAGGCCTAATAAATCGATATGAGCGGTTGATGAGCCAAATATACTGATAAGTTATAATCGGTCATAGATAATGATGACGGGCGAAGATATACGAAACTATAATAGCAACCTTTCACAGCGTCACGATTACGTTAACGATTACGAGGAGTTGTTCGTCATTGTTAAACGTAATCGTCGGGATCTAAATGGAGTTTTAGCACAGCGTTGCGATTAGATTTCTCTGTGGATATTGCTAAAATTCGGAGTCAATGCCCGAGTGACCGGGCTAAGGTCAAATTATTATGTTTGTAGGCCAAATCAAGATATTAATTTTGTCTATTTATACGTGAACATATTTCCTGTTATTAAAATAGATAGAGTTCTGATATTTTCGTCGTTCGGTTTGAAACTAAAAAAGTATCATAGGTTGTGCTCACGTTTTTGGCAGCAGCAAACCGTGTTTAGCCACTGCACATAATATCGTGACACAACACACAGAATTTTGTGACGCAACACACAAAATATTGTGACGCAACACACAAAAGGTAGTGACGCAACACATGAAGCCACCAATCGTATTCGTAGCCCTTTTACCAGTAGGACACATACCATGTACTGTACACCCTAGATAAACATCCCGGGTGGGCATCAATTTCGTCTCAAACAGGCGCCGATGTTGCTGACCTGCGCAGTAAAGCACGAGTATTTTGACGAAAAATGCTGTAGATAACAAAGGGATTGCTTTGAGAATTCAGAGATACACAAAGAAGATGTATCTTTTCCCGAACATTCAACAAGGCCATGGAATAAAACGACTACGATAACTCCGTTCACTTTCGAACCCTGATATGCGACTTTTTCCATCTTTTCTTTACAAAAATTCATGAACTCGATTTGAAAAAGAAATTAAATGAAATTGTGAACAAAGATTAATAAGCTTACGACTGATGCATATTTTTGCTTGAAGCCCGTGTAATTAATAGGCCTAACAAGTCAAAGCACTTTTGGAAATTGTACATTTATTTAGAAATTGCCAATCATAGGTATCAAACGTAAGAATATGTGACACCGTGCAAAAACAACCAGTGAACGGAACTCTTTTCTCGTTCAAGATTTCAATATTCTAATAACCACATTTTTTTCGATTAAGATTTTGATATTATAATTTGGGTTTGTTGCAAAGCTTTATCTTTTTGCAGCCCTATTATTCTTGTAACTAGTCCTATGTTGTTCCTATGCTGTTCCTGTGTTGTCCAAATATCCTACACCTACAAGCAGGAAAACGAGGGGCAGTTAAAATTCATTTGAATACTTGAGTTCAGTAGGCCTCTGTACATATTTCGGTAAAGTAATACCTGACTATTTTGTTCTTTTGCTGCCAAATGACTTATGTGCATGTGTCGTTCCTTTGTTATACACATTTTCCATGAAGGGATATTTGACAATTGCAAATGACTGAATGAATAAAAGACTGCAAAGAGGAGTTCTAAGGGTGCGTAAGGCAGTTTCATGTTGTTCAGAAGATCGGCCTTCTTCTTTAGACACGACAGGTATTTCTTTTCTCGCCCCTCTCATTACTGGAGTACGGAGCCACAATTCGACTGGTGTTAGAGGTACTGGTTCAGTTCAATAGCTTTAACAGCAGTAAATGCGACTCTGTGCTCCGGTAATGGAAGATTGGTGAAGAAAGACGAAAAAAATCAACTAGTTCTATCATTTTACCGTATACACGTATCACTCAAGCTGCTTAATGTTGAAAGATAAGCTGCATATTGCATTTCGTAACGTAATTATAGTGTAATTTGGATGGTTTCGTTGGAACACGACTGCACTGGTTGCTAAGAGCAGTCATTTCTGCCTTTATAATGAGCATGATATGTAACGGCACGCTATGGGAGACGGTGACTATTTGGAAACCTCTCACGTTTTCTTGTCTTAAAACTGGCAAAAAAATCCAACTGATTAGTTCTCTGTGAGGGAAATTATAGCTTAAAATTTACTCATCAGTATGATTTAGCAACCCTTATCATTTACATTTAAAATCTAATTTGGATCATAATTAATCACCAACTACATGTTGACATTTTAAAATTTAATAAATTGCTAATATTGAAAATCGTGACTCAGCATTACATGCTGGGTGGGGGGAAACGCTCCAAGCTTTAAATTTCAATAACTAGAAGGTACAGAAAATTTCGAACCAGCCTGTAGAAGCTTAATACCAGTTTTTCACACTAGAGCAACAGGGCAGTGCGCGGTTATAGAATGGAGATCATTTATACCACGAACCATAGGAATCTGCATGTGTCTCTTTTAGTAAGTTAAAAGAAACCAAATGTTCATCGTGCGTGGTGATTTCGTTCTTTAATTATTCTTTTATGTTTATACATATATGTTAAGCCTGAAATACAAACGCACAAGTCCCTGTGGGCATGCATTCTTTTAGCCTATTTCGGTCTTCAAATGCATAAAGCAGACAGGCTAACGAGGGAGAATGAATGAACGAATGTCAACGGGAAGTTCTAGTCTCAACAGACACAAAAGTACAAAGTATTCTAGATCACAAACTAAAACAGTCACGACTTGCGAGTACTCCAATGACGTTAATGTGACATTTGCTGCACGTCTTCAACCCGAGTAACACGAAATGGAACGCGATCGTCATATGGTCAAGTTAATGGAAATAGATCTTCAAACAGCAAATTTTCAATTTTATTGCATTTTAACACTTGTCCCTTAATTGAAAAGGTAAACCCAATCTAAAATTTAAAACCGTTCACAGAATTGCCATCCATAAACCCGTTGGGCTGTTTGACCATATATTCAAAGTTTTTTTAGTCACATTCGAAACGGAAAGAAAGGCTGGTGATTTTTGCTCGAAACTGTGAAGACTAGATGTTGAGATCTCGAAAACGTGCAGAGATCGTAGTTATTGTTTTCAGCGGTTTTGGACAGGGCGCCTACGTTGTGTATAAGACGAAAAGTGCTGTTATTTCCAGGAGCATTTTGGTTTGCTGTAGAATGGTTTAACGCACGTTCGGTGGACGTATAGGCGATCAGTTACATAGTCTCGTGAGTTAATATGTCGCCTGTGAATTTCATATTAGACTTGAAAATAAAACATGAAATGAATCTATAGATCACTAGTAGTAAGCACGAGGACGTTTTGGTCCAACAGACTTTCGAGACCACCACTAAGGTTGCATTCCCAAATGTCATTCACAACATGTGTTCAGTTTGTTAGCTGGATAGCATCAAACTACGAAACCATTAAATGATCAATTCATTCGTCTGGCGGTCAAACTAAACATTGCAAATTCAAACTGAGATTTGATTCTTAAGGGAACATTCGACATGATAGTAGAAATGAGACTTCAACCTGCGCCTACTCGGTGTGAAAGGATAGACAGCACTTCGAAACTCGTGAAATGTTCACTTACCAAATACGCGTCTTGCCAACTGGCGTACTTCACAACTAATTTCCAAAGTTGCCTACTTCTTTCTCCTCTATCCTCTCTCTCTCTCTCTCTCTCTCTCTCTCTCTCTGACTTTATTGATCGCTGGGTGGAGATTCGCTGGCTCAGTTTCGCCTTGTGTAACTTAATGATTTCACGAACCGATGCGTCAAGACGTTTGCGATAACATTTGGAATATGAGCTCTCTCCCACTCTGACAGACGGGCAAACGAACTTGTCCACGATCCAGTTATACTTACAGTACGACATCAACTTCAGCAAAATGTAATATATATATTGCACTCATACAGCTTAGGTCATCGACGTCGCTTCCTCTTCTCGTCTTCTTATTTCCTCATTGTTAATCTTCGTGCAGGCGTCTTCATTCACCACGCACACAATTAACACCGCACGTCCCACACGCGAACACACGTTTATTTCCGTTTTAAAACTCAGATCCAGCATCTAAAAGCCAATTTTCTAAAACCTCTTTAGATTTTGTGAATCTCTTGGGAGAACACGACAAGCCACTTAAAACCATAGTAAAATATCCCCCATACTAGTCCACTCTGTATTGACGTAAGGTATAGATGGGATCGTAATTAAAATTTACACTGTACTTTACATTTGAAAAGGACCCTGTACATTTAATTCTTATTATCACAAGGCCTTTTTCAAGTTAACCGACGCTTGGCTAGCTGTCATCGATATCGAGCGTTGACAATCTGCGCGGGATGGCCCTCAGGGCATGCGCTAAAGGAATCGGCAGAAGAATGGTAGTCCTAGGAAAGGATGTACGGAATCCCATACGATTACTACATATGGCAAGGCGGAGTACTGGGATTAGTATATGGGACGAAAGTCACCTGTACAAAGTAAGGGGGACCGGACTGGTTCCCAGTAGACTACCAATTCTGTCACACCAGTAGCTGTGGTCCCATAAGTAGAGTGGCTGATATCAGTGCACTACATGACATGGACAGAATGCGACAAATCGCTTCACATGTCACCCACTATAAATGAATCTTCTATAATGCAAAGAGCATGTAAGCTTGCATCCTGCTCGGGAATTCAATAACCCCCGTTTCCTTTATTTGCGATTTCATTTCCACAACCTACAGCGTTATTTAGTATTATTAACACGCAGTGATGTCATATAACGCTTCGATTATTTACACCTAGCTATTGCGCCTGCACATCTAATTAGATAAATTCTTTATTATCTCAATTTGTCTGATTTCAGTGGAGGAAATGTGTACTTTCCTCTTCGAACAAAACAGCACCCATTAAGTAACCTGGTTTTTCAGAAATGAGAAAACGCGACGGACAATCAAACAGAACTTGAGTCATAACCAAAAGTCAGCCGCGCGGTCTGAAGTAACGATACGAGTTGATCCACTGATCGTAACATATATGTAGCTGAACCTTTGGTCCACTGTTTTTTTTTTTTTTTTTTTTTTTTTTTTCAGCATCTTTATTCTCATAAAAGGTTAAATATTAGTTACAGCATAAATAAAGGTGGCAAGTTCGCGGAAGCATCATACGCTCACCTTAGCAATATCAAGTCATAAAATTAGACAATGAAAAAAAAGAAAGGCCTCCTAAGGGGCGCAAACAGATCAAAAAAATTTTTTTTGATCTGTTTGCGCACCTGACGAGGCCTCCGGGCCGAAACAGCTGTAGGGACTTATGTAAATTAAAATGGAGAGAACAGATAAACTTTGTTCGTTTTCTTGTCTTTCTACACTAGCTCCCCATGGTCCGTCACCATGGGTAGAGCACTTTTCCATAGTGTATCAACTATATTCTCCGTGATATATATATATATTCAAAGAAAAGACGAGTAACGATGACATTTGGTCCACTGTGGGCGAAGACATCAGTAAAACGCACGTTTGTTTTTCGCCTCTGTGACAAATTTATATTGCAATGAAATAAAAATTAAAATGATCATTGAAAAATAAATAAATAAGCACCATAATGACCTTAAAACCATCGCAGCTTCTGCAGCTTAATTCGCAGTTCACCATAGCGTGACTAGACGTCTCACGTAATATACTATCCGTTATCTCACAAATAGTTCAACCATCATTATCTGTACACAGAATTAGATAACTAAGGTTCCAATTACTAGGAAAATGAAGATAGGAGCCAACGCAGGCATTTAAGGGATAGTTTTCACCTCGATTTGCCAAGGTTCAGCAGAAGGTCAACCATACTTTTCTTCTTGCTTTATCTATTTTTCGTAACGCAAAGGCTCCATCGTACACGGACACTTCTTAACCCGTGGTATAATAATTTAGCACGCGTCTCCATACAGCGAAAAACATGAGTTTCAGTCAACTACACTGTGTACCCAGTATATATGTATTGGCAAACAACTAGATTTATTCCTACATAATCATAACACCACAAAACGCAGTTAACTACAGTTGAAATTTGACATCATGTCAAAAGCATGTTTTGCAAAGTTCTCAAGCGTTGTTTGCTCCTAATAACTCGGAGAATTGGAAATCATTTTGGGTTCTGAATATGCCCTATGCCTCACATGTAGCAAACCAAATCCATTTGTCTTTCCTGCATAAAAGGAGCACGTTTCATTAAAAAAGTTTTGGGAAAGAACATAGCAGGGAAAGCATTTTGGCAACATGGCGGACTGTTGATATTTTCTAGCATATTCTTTACTGAAGAGCACTTCATGAGCACAGACAAGAAATATCTCTTAAAATCATTAGGAGATCTGTGAAAAATTAATTGTTTTCTCCCCTGAAAACCCGTCTTTCCTGTCATCAAAATGTGCGAATACAATAAATAAGTTTTTGTGATACCTTACACATTAACAAGTGTCGATGAATTCATAACCTCACTTGAAACAATAATACACAATTGCTTGGCGTAGTTATGGACGTGCCTGCTTTCTTCTTCGTCTAAGATACTCTTCTAATAGTGTTCTGATTGTTCTTGCAAATGAAAGTGCAGTTTATCGCGAGAGAGATAATAATTTGCCCACTCTCTCAATATTGGCTAACCTACTCGAAGACAAGTATTGCATGTTGCCAATGTTGGAATCAGATGAACTGAGGTAGCGCGTTTATTAACTTATCAAAAAAAGTAATTAGGCGTCTGTTTTTAAGAACGGTTTTAATAATTTCGAGTTTATCCGTGAACTTCATAAATGAAACATTTTCCATTCAACAGGTGCTAAATGAAAGTAACGTTAGCTGTAAACTAACGAGGTGAGTAATTGCTGCTTTAAATAAAAGCAGGTTAAAAATGACGATGTATTTCCTAGTTTACAAACTTAACTACATTTACTTACGTTTTCCCTATATTAAAATCGGATAAGTTGGAGTATACTTACCAAACTCAACGCTGTGACCAGAAGAAATTAGTTATAAGACGTTATTAAGTAGGCCTAAAGAGTTGGTTTAGGTCATTTAGTGAGCGGTAAATGAAAAGTTCCTTAGAACAAAGAGACAAGCAAAGTAAATGCGATTAATGGGTGTTAAGCTAAATGAGTTTCAATTTACTGTATTTTCCCACACAAGTAATTAATTTCCTGTTGTCTGGAAATTATTTAAGGGCCACTAGAATTGTGCAATGAATTGCTGGATATAATAATTTGATAAGATATTGGATTCAAGAAGCAAATAACCCATGTTAATAAGTGTGTTCAATTAACACCACGTAGTAATGTCTCCTCAACTAATAATTCATTTCCTATTTTCTAGGAATTGGTATATAAGTCCACAAGAGTTATTGGGTTCAAGATGCAGGTATGAAGATATTATTACCTAACATCTAGAAAAAAAGGTGACCAAAAACTTGCATGAACTGGTGAGGCACCCTTTTATTAAAAATAAAAAAATAAAAAACCGAATAAGTCCCCATTCCTTCCAAAGTGGAGAAAATAAAACACGAAGACCCACAACAGAAGTCTTTGATCATGCACTAAGTACCGTAAAATGTCCATATTTCTTTGTCTCAGTTCTTACAGCTTTCTTTGCCAATAACCTGTGCGTATACTCTAACAACCCTTATATGTTAATGAATCTTACAAGCAAGGAATAGATGCTTTTTATATATTTTTTTTATTTCATTTTAACATTATGTATAAAATATTTACAAGTGCATTTGCCTTCATGAAAATAATTTCAAGGGTAATCCAAACCCACTGCTTCAATGATCAGAAGTCCTCAAATCTTGCAATGTGTGGAAATGTCTTACGTCGTAATGAATCTTCAACGGGTGCTTCCAAAACTGCTACCCAAGCAGTCACAAAGATCTTTTCTTTTTCTGTGAAAAAATTCAAATCAAAGCTGTGGCTTACATTATTAATTCAAAATCATAAGAGAGAATTTTTTATGAAAATAAATTGTTTTTGCATGTAGATTGATTTAGTAACATTTCCTAAAGAAATGTTAAGTAAAAAAGGAGCTGCCATTTGTTAGTGTGTCATTTTAATTATCTACTATTAGGTTTTGTACAGATTATAGGAAAAAGTCTGCCTATTAATATTTTTTTGAGCTTTTTTTGAAAATATATAAAAGCATTCTTAGTTCTTAACATCATTCTATTCACTATTATTGTAACATCCAACTTTTAGTAACAAATGAATAATAACATTATAATCTTATATTTAAGGCACAACTTAAAACAAACCTGAGCATTGTATGTTCCTCCAAAATCTAAAGCTGATCCTGAAGATTTATTCCTTGACCTGAAAAACATTCACTCTATTAAAAAAACAAACATATTATTGTTGCAGTGGACACAAGTGACATGATTAATCTTGGCAATAATCTGCAGTATGCTCAGTACAACTTTTTCATTCACTTCACAGTATATGCTTTTATTGTGAGCAAGTTGAAAAATAAAGTTAAGGGTGCTTTATGTTAGTGTTGGATGTAATGGTGTAAAATGTGTTAAATTGTGTTAATTGTGTTTGGTGTGACAATAATCTTGGCCACTACATTTAGTGTGATAGTGGTGTTAAAGTGTGACAGCAAAAGTAGCCTTGTGGTGAAGAGTGGCAAGAGAGATTGTATTAGGTGTGACAAGTAATCTGTGACAGTATACTGTGTGTGGCAACAAGTTCAGTTTCATGTTGCAAAATGAGTAACATTGCTCTAGGTGTGATGGGTATCCACCTCTCTTGTTCTGGTTCACCAGTGGACTTTCTCTTGTTCCTATGCTGTGGAAATGAAGGCATCATCTCTGCCTGGCAGGCTGTAAAATAAATAAATAAATAAATAAATAAATAAATACTAAGTTTATGACAACTTATCATAACATTCATAAGCTTCATCCACTGTTGAAAAGATGCTGTTAGTGACAGTTGGCTTTCTAATAGTTGAAATAACAGAATGATTTCTGACAAAAATTAATTTTAACAAAAAAGGACTCTATTTCTAAGACTTCCACTGTTCAGTGATAACATTTTACTCTTTTTCAGATCTAGAGTTATCATACTGCAGCTGGTGAGGTTTGGGGGTGGAAGTGGTGGGGCTGGAGGGAGAGGGGGTAGGCAATGTCCAAACTCTTTATCTTGTCCAGTACTCGACAATCAGTTCTTGACAACTAATTTCTGAATCAGTGGTTTTAGTTTAGAAATTGGTCTAGATTTTTACACTATTTTGATATGTCAACTTGAAAATAATTTTAGAGGCTTAAGCTTGAAAACTGGTTTAGATTTTTAGACTATTTTGATAGGTCAACCTGAAAATAAGTACTTAACAATTAATTTCAGAGGGATTTTAGCTTGCTAACTGGTCTAGATTTTTAGACTTTTTTGATCCAAGATAACTCAATAAGATCCAAAAGAAATAAAATATTATTCCAGAGCAACACTTATTTTATTTCAGTGGACTACAATGGATTTATCTTGAACTGAAATGGACTTATTTTTAGGTCTTAAAGTTTGGACCAATTTTCAGACTACAGCTTTCTTTTTTTTAGAAACTGTCCCCCAGGATGCTGAACACTTACGATAAGGCTGCTCTTTAAAATATGAACTGTCAAGACAGTCTGCTGCAGTTGCCCTGCAAAATATATTACAAAACAGGTGAGGAAAATTAAAAGACAAATAAATCTGTATTTCTTTCATCTGTGTTTTGCATGCTGAAGCTCTGCATAGACCATTAAAAGTCAGTATCATCTCAGAATTCTGAATTGGTTCTTCTTGGAAAAAGCTCCCTCTAGAGTACAAAGGTCCAAAGTGGATCAGAGTCAATAATACATTTTACAGCTGGATTATGTGATTGCCATCTATCTTATCTGTCACACAAATAAAATGAATATGAAATAAAACTACCTACGAACAGGTGTTAAAACACAATGCATTTTTAATGTCATTTGTTTCAAAGATCTAAAGCTCTTCTGTTGGCAAATTAAAGTAAGTGAGGTTTCTTACCTTTTCTTTGGATCAAACATAAAAAGAAAGTTCAGCAACCTAATTCCTCCCTCTGATAACCATGTAAATGTGTGCCTTAAATTGTTATACCTGGAAAATTGAATATCACTCAAAAACACACGAGGCTAAGAGTTCTTATGATTGCATACATGTGGTTGCAGTATACAGGGTCCAGTTCAAAATGAATTTTAGCCCCAAAATTGGTCTGAACTTTTAGACAAAAAATTCCAATCTTTGGCTCAATATAAATCAGTAGTGGTCCAATTAAATAAAACATTGCATCCATATTACAACAAGAAAGAACACTGCATATTACTGTATGAAGTTTCTTTGTGAAATGCAACTTATTCAAAAAATGATTCTCAGCATTCTTAGCAAAAAATGTAAAAATAAATAAAAACAAACATTTCAGACTGAATATATTTTGTGATGAAGACCACTGTGTCTTCTTATAATCATTACTTAGACATTCAATATCAGTTTTCCACAGCCTTCTCCCAGTGCTACTTACGGCTGTTTTTTCAACGAGAAATGCTCCAAAGCTGGCAACTTGCTGAAACCCTGTTAACAGAAAGCATGGTTAAAGCCACATGCACAAATACTTGGCATGCTTCATTTTAAACAATATTTAAGGCTGACACTTTCTCTATGCACTCTATATATATTTCCTATCAAATCAAGTCAATAATATAATTTTTTCTAGTAGCACAATGAATGATTTTAGAACAACTAACATGCATTCTGTTTAATGTATTGATGTTCATTTGTACAATATATATTTTTTGATAAAAATATTTCTAAAAAACTCCTCTAAGTCTAGACAACTTTGAATGATTTTAGGGCCTGTCAGGTCGACAGAGAAAAAAATTATATATAAATATTAAAGTAAATTTACAGGCCATATATTTTCTGTGGGAGTCCCAAACATTTCCACGATGAGCTCTATCTGATGTATTTCAGTCCTGCCTGGTAGCAGTGGTTTATGGGCCAACAGCTCCCCAAGTATACACCCTGCTGCCCTAGAATAAAAAACAATTCAATCAAATAAATTATATATATTGAATTAAAACTAGAAAACCAATTTTTCAAAATCATTTTATTTTTTTTAAGAAAAAAGACATAGTGGTTAATGGGCCAGCAGCTTACCAAGTGTAAATCTTGTTTCCTAAAAAACCTTCAACATCCCCTTACCACAATAAATAAAACCATATTAAAACCAAAATGCCACTTTCTCCCAATCCTTTTTAAGAGGAATAAAATAAGTTGAAAATTTTAGAAGTTACAAATATGTTTGTATTAATGTTTAACATAAAGGAATTTGGTATGTTATATTAACGGTATATGACAAAATTTCCGTTTCATTATAATCACATTACAGAACTTCTCCTTCCTGATCACTGAATACTGATTTTTTTCATTAAATACGTATTCTGTTCAGGAATCTTAAAAATATTATAAAACTCTACTACTCACCACATATCGATAGCAGTAGTTTGTGACTTGGCACCAAGTAAAAGTTCAGGTGCTCTATACCTGAAATGTCGCACACACACACACGTTGTGAATATCTTGTAACAGTTGACACATTAACTCTCACCTTTCAGTTTGAAATATCATGTTTATAGTTTTCACTAATAGTAAAAATCTTAAAAAGTAAAATACAAAAGCACTAAAAAATTGCGTTATTCAGAAAAAAACAAAATGCAACGACACTAGCAATAACTAGATTTACATTTTTCTTTTATACATCAGTTATCAGCATGACACTTTGCATTCTAACTTATGTTTCAATGTTTTTTATATAATTTTTCTTCTCAAGTTTAAAGATTTATCCCTTAATTAATGCTGCTTACCAAAGAGTGACAACTCTGGGCGTCATTGGTTTTAATGGGACTCCATATTTCCTTGCAAGACCAAAGTCGGCTGGAAATAAATTCACATTTCCCAAATCAAGGCATAAAACGTGCACATTTTTGAATTCATAGTGTCCGAATTCCTGAATCATTTTGATCTCATTTTATTTGATGATAACCATGTAACATCTCTTTGTTAATCCAGATGACAAATGGAGTTAAATTTTCTACATTGAAGTACAAAAGTTATGCTTTCCAACAGTTTATATATAAACAAAATCAAAGTGAAAACCACCTCACCTATTTTTACGCAACCCTTGTCTGTCATCAAAAGATTGGACACTTTTAAGTCTCTGAATAAAAACAAAACATATATATTACATAAAAAGTATGGGAATGCTGTGGGATGCAAAGCCAAATATTCAAAGAAATAAATAAATGCATAAATAACAGATTCAAATTTTTAGAAATATTCCCAAAAGCGGTGAAAAGAACCACAAGATAAAACTCAAATCAGTAATTCCAAAAAGAAGACATTTTCCAATCCTTGAATAAATGTACAATTAAATTTCTTCATCACATCACTATAGTGGCTTCAAAACTGCTGGTGGGTGTCCTTTAAACTAAAAAAATATTACTAAATAAGTGAAAATGAAAATATAATTACAAATAATATTATATAATCTATACATTAAACCCTCTCATGCTACAATAAAACAGATAAGTAAATCAAATCTCTCTACTTTATCTTACAAGGATAATGTGTATGAACCTTACCTGTGGACAATGTAGTGTTCGTGTAAAAATTTCAGCCCTTTTAACACTTGTATCATAATGCATTTTACCTGGAACAGAAATTTAAAAATTAAGATGAACAATCTACAAATATTAAAGACACCTAGGAAAGCATCACTTTTTATAAAACATTTTCATTGAAATATGTATAATGCTTCATACAAAAATAATGCTACTTTTTCTGATGCACCTTTGTCAATGTATTAATCTTTCAGATAATGAGATAATAAGAAGGATTTAACATTTTAAGCATTAGATATTCAAGTGAAGAAAGTTGAATAATTAGAAAATGTAGAGGATAATTTTTTTTTATCAGAAAACCAGGTTAAAATATAAGGGTGTGTTCACAATGAAACAATCAAACCAGGTAATTCCAACTAACTTCATGGGGATTCTGGCTGAATGCAATCAGATAAACACACCTCTTCTTGTACCCTCACCAACTTTTTTTGTGTTCTACTCAAAGCTACAAATATTAATCTGTTAGTTTAATTGCATTCAGCTAGGGGTCTCCCTGGAGTTGCCTCGAACTACTTAGTGCAATAGTTTCATACGTACCTTAATTATATTATAAGGTAAACAGAAAACCCCAACTGCTGCTGAACGTGTGCCCACTACATACCTGTGCCTCAGTGAAAGGGTTGGGCATATTATCCAGCAGACTGGCCAGGTCCTGCTCACAGTAACTCATCACAAGGAATATGCTGAGAACACACCAAGAAAGATTGGTGATTTTATTTGGTATGTTTTAGATTTTAAGTTTAAATCTCTATATTGTAGAAAGTGCAATTTTAAGATTTTATCATTATTATTATTATTATTATTATTATTATTACTACCACTACAGAGGCATAAACCTAATATCCACATTCTGAAAAATATAAAATCAACACCAGTACCATCAATAAAGATTAATAAATATTTTTTTTGAAAAACATGTCATGTATTTCGAAAAAGATAACAGATGTAGGGGTCAAAAGAAACAATGACTTTAATTTTTTAAATACTTGGAAAGATTTTTTAAATGTAAAAAAAAAACATTAATTTTAAAATACTCATTACTTTCAAAACATAATCAAACAAACAATCATTTTTGTTTTTCTTATTTTTTGTTATTCCCAATTCACCTACAAATTTTAACTAGTGTGAATTCTACATGAATAATAATTTATATTACAGTACTATTTGATAGTGTACCTGTCCAAGCTTTTCCCCACCACAACTTCTGTTGATGTAACAATGTTTTCATGATGTAAATTTAGTAGAATATTGATCTCTCTGAGTCCACTAATTGGAATACCTGAAATATTCAAAATAACACATTAAGAAAATACTGCATTAAATGGATGACAAAATATAACAGATATTAATATATTCATTTCATTTTTAAAAAATCACTTCGTGATATGGCTTTTCCCCTCAAATTTTGAATCAACAAATTTTGTACCATTCTTCTGACCATCAGTACAAAAATCATAGTTCCAAAAACTCAATGGAAGTACACATTCATCAAATAGCTGACACATTAAGTGACAAAAATTTCATTGCATCATGGATTGTCTTCTCTACTAAAATGTTTTATATATTTCACATATAACACTGGTACCTCAAGCAACAATAAGATAGTATCATCCCATATCATATACTGGAAAGTTTGTACTGTGAGTTGTATTTAGAGTAGCATACAGGGAACAGACTTAAGGTATTGGTCAAAACAAGGAGTTATAAAATTAGCGTAGGATTTAAGAAATTATTATTAATGAACATATTCAGAATAGTCTGCAATCAGACTCTACGGACTTGTCAGAATTACTGGGGCAGTGTTCAGAATAGTCTAGCGACTTGTCAGGCTTACTGTTCAAAGCATCAGAGAAATAATAAAATTATGTTCATACAAACCATCTTTTTCTCTTTCCATCCTCATCATTTTCAGGGCTACAATTTCATTTGTTTTCATATCACGAGCTCTATCTGAAAAGAAAAAGAGAGAGATCTCAAAATCAGTTTCAACATGTACACATTCCATATTTTGACATTATTTAAAATATAAATACTGCATGTATGAATATCAATCTGGCATACTTATATGTGATTGGTGACACCAAGACTATATTATTCATCATCACCTTATCTTGACAAAATAAAAACAATTTTACAATAAACTTGCTCACAGACAATTCCATAGGTTCCCTCTCCCACTCTGTTCAACTTCTCAAACTCTGTAACCTTTCTGCATCTTCCAAGCTGAAAAGATTATGTATCAAATATAATTCTATGTATAGATATACCAGTATTTACAAAAGGTATACAGATTGTAAATATGTTATGTATATTTATCTATTTTTCCTCTTTAAAATAAAAATATTATCAATTTTTTTAAAAAGATATGTCTTATTATAATTACTTTATTTATTACTGGACTAGAAGTCAAGTTCAAAAACAGTTCTACTGTGTACATGCTTAGAAAGAATAAACAATGTTCATGTGAAAACAGCAATATCTTTTCTGCAACCTACATTCTCCGAGAAGGTAACAGGACAAATGCAAAGAGTCTGTTTGTCTATATATTAACTAACTACAAAGTTTATCTCATTAAAATCAGACAGACTTTTCTTTTTTTAAATTATGCAGGAAGCCTGAAAATATACAATTTATTTACAAACCCAATCTTTCTCAGGAATGGGCATGTACTGTCCAGTAAGGAAGGAATACAACATGTGGCCTCTCTCTTTGACTGGGGTCTTGGGGCTTGTGTCCTTTGACGTCTCCTCCTCCCTGTTACTATCACGCCCGTCGTCCGTCTTGGTTTCACTCTTTTGTCTCCCTTCTGCCATTTTAGTGCAATATAACTTCAATGCATTCTTTTTTCTAAAGTTTCTGAGTTTGGTAGTCCATTTCTGCTAAATGCGAACCCCCTAGACAATAGCTTAAACTGTAATGCTTTCAGTAAATCAGTATCAAAAACATTTAAAATAACATGTTCCATTACGTTTTATCATTTGTGTTCGTATAACTGATATCACATTTCTTGAAGTGGAAGTGTCGCCGGTTGATGCCACACATGAATCCATGTTATGACCTAGTTCTTTAAACGAGGTCAAGGACGCTAGGATTTTAGTAAATGAGAAAGGTTTTCTTTTATTCTAAGCCCATGGTATATAATAGTTCAAAATATAAAGCAATCTATTCTTTTTATTTCTTATTTTAAGCCTTAGCTAAAAATTATGGCCGCACTTAAACGAGAATTGTCAACGAGAGCGGTGCATCCAATATGGCGTCTTGTGTGAGGAGAGCATTGATGCCTATTGGAGTGAATATTCTGCGACAACATGGTAAGTTAAACCTTACAGAATTTGCAGTAACTTTGTCTATGCAAATTGTTACTTTCTCTTGGTCTCAAATACACTGCCAAGGCTAGAATAATTTCGACACTTGCTAATGATAATCTGACAACCATCTTCCAGTANTGAAAATTGAGGGAAGCAGGACCCCCCCCCCCCCCCCAATCGCACAATCTAAGAAAAGACAACATTAAATTTGTCCATGAAGCAGATAATTAATTTTATTATAAGCCATGTTGATTTAATTTACTATGATTTATATATATATTAAGTTCTGCATATTTCATATTCCAGGTATTATCAGCTGTTTAAGACCAAGAACTCTCCCAATGATGTGTAGATTTGCTAGCCATGATGCAGTGCAGAGTGAGTATTTGTTATGATAGTTCTCACTGCATGAGATCCAATATTATTGTTTATTATTTAAATATATCATTACCATGTGTCTCTTCAGGGCATGAAATTATTATGAAATCATATGGAAATTATTTGATTTAGCAGTACCATAACATAATGTTTTGATTAAAAGAAAATGATTTAATTTTTAAAACCTTTTACTAGTCCAGCAAAGATAACTGTATTTTGCTGTATTAGTAGTCCAACTGTTACTTTTTTCTTTGTAGCCCATTTGTTGCATAAATCATATAAACGCCATGGGTTTCTTTAGAAGCATTGGTGCTTTTAACAAATAAAATATCCCTATAGTAGATATTACTCTTGTTCTTTTGGCTGTGAGTCATCAAGGGTGCCCTCTTGCTTTAAATGAAAAAATAAAAAAAAAATGGCGTACCCTGAGCTTTTGGTGTTAATAGATCTATGTTGTAGTCCAGGCAAAAGTTGTAGTTTGATGACAGTGAAAAGGCTCAGCTTTTATTTGTGATTGGTGAAGTGAACCTGAATCAAAGTCTGCTATGGGTAAGACGTGACAAATTGGCATGCTTGGACAATTTAAGATAAAGAAACTCCCCAACTTTAGTTCTGAAACTAAGGTTCATTGAATATTTCAGAGAAAGAGAACATGAAAATCATTTGGCTAAAGTTTAGCTACCACTTGTATGATTATTATAATACATATATAATATTTATTTTTATATAACTGCAGCAACTATTCTGAAGAGAGATGATGCACGCAAGGAGGAGCTACTTCAGTTTGGGAACTATGTTGCAGAAAATCTGCCCAAATTTGTACAGAAAGTTCAGATCACAGATGGGGGAGAACTGGAAGTCCTGATTCATCCTGAAGGGGTGGTGGTTACCATGGCGTTTCTTAAGGACCACACAAATGCACAGTTTACTAATATATCAGATTTATGCGCTGTGGATGTGCCCTCTAGACAATATAGGTTTGAGGTATGTGTTATACAATTACTGGCTTTGGCCAAGATGGATTTAACTTTTCTGGGATCTGCTAATAAATGAAAATAAATGAAACTCAAGAAGTGTTTAAGTATATATAAGTTATTACCAAAATAACAATGTCCTCCAAGATGACATCAATAGTTTAAAAACGCTGTCATCCAATTTTGTCACTGTTGACTGATTGATTATATTACTAGTAGGTCTTTTCTCTGATTGGTAAAAAATTGGCAATTACATCATTTGTCAATATTTTATATGAAGGGGGGGACATGGACAAGGGGACCATGCAACATTATAATGTTTTGTATTATAAACTTGAGTTGCACATCTTTAATCCAAGGTATTGTTTTGGATGTACACAATTTCATTTTTGGATACATTCTTTAATTACATGTACAGATATTATTATTTGACAATATTATTCTAGAAAATTATTTGATTGACTGGGCTGTTTTTAGTTTTTAGTTTTGCCAAATTTGTATTATAATAATAATACAATTAAGTGAAATAAATTTTTCATCAAAAATCTTGCAATCCTAGTGATATTATGTTAAAAACATGTGCTTATATTTGTTATATTTGCACAAGAGTAATGGCTCTAGAACTGCTTTATTTTTTCAGTATTTCTGATTTTGATTATTTTTGTATATATTACAGATTGTCTATAACCTTCTCTCATTACGGTTTAATACACGCATACGAGTGAAGACATACACAGATGAAATCACACCAATGGAGTCTATATGTCCGGTTTTCCGTGGTGCTGATTGGTATGAGAGAGAGGTATGTTTTTTAAAAAACAGTTACATTTTTATTATTATCACTGATTTTTTTCACCACCAACCAAGATTGACAAAAGCTAGTCACATAAATCACTGTGTGTCCATTTGTGTATCGATAATAATCTGGCAAGTATCTACCCTCAGCTGTTGAATTTTTTAGATGAATAGTACACAACAATGGCCAATTTTTTCTGTCTTTTCAAGTACTTGCCTCTTCAGTTAGTACACTGGGAAGGCATGACCATTGCATTATCAGCTCACCTAAAGGCATTAAAAAAATTGACAATTTATTTCGTATCATAAGTGCATACTGTACAACTACATTTTGAACACCCATTACTGTTAATAGTGAACCTGATGCTGTGCATAAAATGTGTTTAGAGATAAAAGGAAATTTGACAAGGGGATATACCATTATGAAGTTTATTGAATTCCTAATATCTTGTATCTATATTAATTATTTTAAGAAGGCTATTACTTATTTAGACCTATGGTTAAATAGGGCTTTTGATGACGAATGCCTCTTCTGTAGGCAATAATTTGGTAAATAAGGATTAATGTTAAATTGATATTTTAAAAATTAATATTAAATAATATTAAATAAATATTAAAAAATCAAATTGAACATATTTAAGTCTTTGATTAAATATCTTTTTGTTTTCTATTCCAGATATGGGACATGTTTGGGGTATTTTTTGCTAACCACCCTGACTTAAGGCGCATCCTAACAGACTATGGTTTTGAAGGTCACCCGTTTAGAAAAGATTTTCCTTTATCTGGTTTTCTAGAGGTGAGCTGAACAGTCTGAAAAATGATGCTTGTATAAGTCTGGAATTGGTAATTTCAGAATTTGTACACAGTGATATTTTCCTGGACTTTATTTCTTCACTAGAAAAACTTGTAAAAGATTATTTGACTGTCAACCAGGAATTGTTAAAGGAAAAAAAACCCTCTCTTTGCAAGTTTTTGATTTTAAAACCGTTTCTGTTTATAAATTGCAGTTTGTAGAATTAGAGCATTACTAATAAGTGTTTCTCTCAGCCCAAAAGCAACTGTATTTATCTGAAAGGGGATGACTGTCCTTTTTCAACTGTAGCATTTTTTTAGATGTGTACACAACAATGATAAACTTTTTTTCTATCTCCTCTAGTTACGATATGATGATGAAGAGAAGAGAATATTATCAGAGCCAGTAGAACTAGCCCAGGAATTTAGAAAATTTGATCTTCGTAGTCCATGGGAGCAATTCCCAGCATTCAGACAAGAAGCTGTTGAAGAGGGGGAAGGTGTAGAAAAATTAGAATCGGGAGAAGAGAAAAAATAGACTTGAAATAATTACTGCCATCTTATAAGAAAACAAGGAACAGTTTTAACATGACTCTTACATTGGGGCAAGTCATGCCGTGTGGATGCTGTGTGTTCTATATTAATTATATAAGTATGAAGTAAAATTTCAGACTGGGCTGACAAAAAACAAACTACAGTCTCTGCTGTAGATCCCAAAATATTGCATTTTTGGAAGTTTAGGACACGGCAGGTATGTAAATATATATTTGTTGATAGGCAGAACTTGAAATCTGGATAGTTATGGAAAGATGTTAATCAATATGCCATAAGTGTATTACGTTTACAAGCTTGGTTGGGAGATACTTCATGGTGATGTATGTGAGGCGCTGCAGGGCTCTAGAACCATGTTTTGGAACATGTAAAGTATTTTTATTCAACCTGGAGAGTCTGCAAGAACTTTAGAACATCGGCTTGAGGTTTACTTCTTATGAAGTATGTTTTGATCTTCTTGCTTGAGTAAGTTTGGGAGAGTCAGCCTGCTTGGTTGTAAAGTGATATGTCATAGAAATAGATTTGAAGATGTGTTATCACAGCATTTGGGTTCTGCGTGTTTGTTAAGGCCACTCTCATGGACATTTGTCCAGTTCTGGTAATAAAGTTTTCAGAAAAGAAAAAGACTTTGGTGAAATTTAGTTTTCTTGCTGGAAACTGGGTCAGAATTTTTTTAATGAACAAGTCAACAAGCAATGTTCATACAACTTTTAACTTTAAAAAATTATAAAGAAAAAAAGAAAAAGAAATGCTGATTTTGGAATATATTTCGTCTTCATTGCTAGAGAAACGTATGCTAGTCTAGTAGAACCAATTTACACTGTGGATCAAAGATCCATATTTACATAGAGCGCATACCGAACAGTGGACTAACAAATCCACGGATCAAATATGGCGGATCAATTGAAAAGATTTGCATTCGGATGTAGAAACTGCAACTTAATTAGCTATGGTTGACGAAGTAATTGTCATCTTGTGAAAATAATTTGTCAAAAATTCCTTTAAACAGAATTTGTGCAAGGGTCATCCTGATGTTTAGAGGTCACTGGAAACTCTTGGCTCTCTGCAATCAGCATACCTGTGTCTTTTCCAGTGACACATTGACCTCTGAAACTCAGGGTGATAAGGGCCAGAGTGAAATTGAACGGACTTTGTATTGTTGATTCGAATATCGTGCCTGCAAAGTCCCCTTGGTCACACCATGGCGCTGAAACATTGACGGCAGTCTATTAAAATTTGATTGTCTTGCTGTATGCTGGGGATGTGATGTGAACTTAATTTTTTAACCGCTGTCGTCAGTAGAGTTACATGGCAAAAAAGTTTTTTTGTACATAGATTAATTAAAAACCACAACTTTTCTTGACCCATGCTTTTAGACTGAATTTTGGGCTGCGATAGTCATTGTCTAATTTTAAGCTTTTTATATCTCTGTCCATGGTGGCGTATGTTCTTCGTTCTTCGCTCAGACATTTGACCACAAAGCTCTGCAATTCATCCACTCCCTCCATCGTTTTAGCAGAGACTTCATACAGTGCCTGAATTTTGGAGCCATTTTGGTGATTCTCAATGAACTTCATGACCTCGGATGACGTCACAAAATCCGTATCACTTCCGGTAGAAGTCCGCAAATCTATTTTGTTCATCACGAGAATGATTTTTATGTCTTTTGTCGGGTCTTTGTTATGGCGTCTCTCTTGGATATTTTCCACCCAGAAAATGACTCGGTCGAATGTGTCTCTTCGTGTGACGTCGAACAAGATAATGGCAACATTTGTATTGCGGTAATACGTTTCTGTAAGTGACGCCAATCGTTCCATACCCGCCGTGTCCCAGTACGTGACCTGATAATGTGAAAGATGCAGTTTCTTATTGAACTTTTTTAGCAATATTAATCAGGCATAACGGTGACACAATAAACAAATATATTAATTTGGTGGAGAAGGAAGGGGGGAAGAAGAGGAAGACCGAACATAATAATAATAATAATTATTATTATTAAAATAATAATAACAATAAGAGAGAGAAAGAAAAGTCTATTGGTATATTGTGTCAAAAGCCACACAGATTTTAACTGGTCCTTGTTAACCGACAAACAAGTTAATCAACCTGTGGTTTTTGGGGTTAAATTGTCTATGCGGAAGGCAAGATCAAATGTAACTTCGACGGACTAGAAGTTATAGGGACTACATTTGTCAAAATAATAATCGCAGAAGCACACTAACCTGTATATCTCCGTCATCTGTCTCGTACACTTTCTTATCACTCGCTTGCGAAGCCACTGTGGTTTTTGTTCCACTTGGAAACGACTGTCCTATAAACCGTCGAAAAAGGCAAGTTTTCCCGACCCCCGCCTCTCCTAATAAAATTGCTTTGAACTCTGGAGCCTTCACTCCCGGGTTGGTAAGCCGGCGGGCCATTCCTGTAATCAACAAGAAAATATATTTGCCAACATTGCCTTAAAAACCTGAATATTTCTTAATTACTGTGAATACGTATAGGAAAACTGGTGAAGGTATACCATATCCAAAACCTTTCACATAATATTCGGATGTAGTGAAGCCTGACGCTAATTTTGTGCCTGTAATAATTGTTGATTTCACTGAAAACACGTGGAGGGGGGGGGGGGGGGTAGACTATCAATGCAGTCCCATTCATTAGCCTTTGTGCCCTTTTTTTATCTAAGTGTGTCTAGCATCACGATAGAACTGACAGAACGTAGATCGCAGATTCGATGACATTTGAGACCAAACCATGTGTTCTACAGTGAACACAGTAGTAGTTCACTTCTAGATGACAAGTTCTTGAGCGTGTTTTGAATTTTTTATCTCTCTCTCTCTCTCTCTCTCTCTCTCTCTCTCTCTCTCTCTTTATTTATATTTTGTCATGCTAGTATCTGTGAACTTTCCCAATCTCATATTACTCTAGAAGCCAGGTTTATTCTCCCAATCTCTCCATTAATATTTTCCCTAAACTCTCAAGTTTGTAGACATCTACTTCCTTGGTATACCGTTCTTCTTCCTTGGCTGTACTCTCTACTTACAGGCAAAGCTAGATTGTTACTGGAACCAGCTTCTTTACCCTTATATTCTACCAGTGCATTTTCTCGTTAAACCACGTGGAATGACTGGAGGTAGAGATATGGTGCATTCTTCAACAGGATGCTTGATCCCAGTAGGATTGTTGTCTTGTTGTTAAAAGAACCACGCCACTTACATGATCTGCTGTCCAAGATGTCAGGTGGGTATTAGTAACTGCCGCCTTGCAAATCTCACGCCCACGATTTTAGCTCTTAAGTGCGGCTGTCGACAGGACACTCCTTAGATATCTTTGAGACGCAAGCAGTAGCAATGTTTGCCATGCAGTGCTGGGGTCATAGTTCGAGTGCATATTACAGTATGAGGTTTGTATATTGATAATTATTTCCATTTACAAAAAGACACACTTACAAAGAGATTGAGATGAATGAATAAATAAATAAATAAAGATGCACCGTTATACACATTGCATTTCAATTTAGTTGTAGGCCTATCTGTAAGTAACACTAGATGAATTTTACTTTTTTCTGAATAAGAAAAAAGGGCTACAAACAGCCCGCTTTGGGCCAAATCTCTATACCTTCATAAACGCTGCTTCTGCGACTCGGTTCCCAAACATCTGACATCTTTACTTTTTTGTTGCGTCTTGCCAAGTTGCTTATGACTCTACCTTTGGCCAAAATAAGTATGACACTAGGACAATCAGACAACAGAAGATCGTTATCTTCCTTCTTTCGCTTATGATATGTCAAGCATCACCGACCAGTGACCACCATAGGAAATTGACTGTCATCTCCCATGCTGACGCAGTGGACTTTCATAATAATGATAATCACAAGCCTAGCCCCGGTTCAGACTGGTTTTAATTTGTTAGTTAGTTTGGTGTTTGAATCGATGTCATCTACTGATTTTTGCAAGCTCGCAAAAATTGCAATAGCAAAATATTTTTGCGTGTGTATCTCACCCACATGCTTTTACATGCACGTATTACTGGATGACTTGCTGCACACACCGGGTTGATCACTATACACGCATTCTACGTCATTCAGACCGAGGGTGATTCGATACTTCTGAGACTAGTCTTGACACACCCGCAATCATGGCTATCTGTATCAATAGCATATCATGTATTAGATAGCAAACCCCAGCGTGTTTGTACCACAATAGTTGCGATAAGCGTTCAACAGATACCTGAACGTCACTGACTGATTAAAACGCGTTTGCACTGGAGAAAATACAGCTCCGTTGTAGGCCTATCCTAGCTTACTCTCTGCATGTTTACATTTTGGAGAAATTGGATGCTATTGGTCCTGTTCTTGGCAGAATAGGTCAAAACCATATCGACCAAGTGTTCACATCTCTGTGCACTACCGTACATGACGCTGACTGTTAGCCCCGCCCCCACCCACACCCCACCTCTCCATCCATACACCAAAACCCACTCCGACCCACCCCGGTTCCCGAGAGTATTAGGGTGGCTTTATATTGGTCGATTAAAAAATTATGGCTAATTTTAGATAAACTACCAGAATTCAAAAATTTTGTAAAAATCTCTGTAATGTTGAAACTATTGCAGCATTTTACCTCTTCTGCTTGACATTTTCAAAAATAATCAATTCATCTCCAATAGTAAAAAATATAGCTGACGATTTGGTTAAAAATGCCCAGAGAGTAACACTTGAGCTGCAAATGATAAAAATCTCTTATTTATATGTCATATCATTTATAAACCGTTCAAAATGTTAAAAGTCTCTTGTCTATTTGTCATAGCATTTATAACTCGTCCAAAATACTTGTTCAATATGTCTTTCTTGTTGTAAACTAACATTGATTAGTTTTCATTCTGTATAGAAAGTTTTATCATTTATGACTTCTTTTCTTGTCGCAACTGAACAAAACTGACCAAATCAGAGGTTTAAAATATGCCAGGGGTGTAACACCCTAAGAAAGATATAATTTAACTTATATAAGAGGTTTATTACATTAATAAAATAATCTGCCTCGCATTAAATACAACAATCAAAAGAGCTTTGTTCAACCCCCACACCTACCACCGCTGTCAGGAGTGTAACAAGTGAGACACATAATATAATCCTACATTACATATATATAGAGAGAGTCCTTACCTTCATGTAACCTTAAATAAAGCGGAGGAGCACACAATTAATCCTATCTTCCGTCTACTTTAAATCTTATCTACCTTTTAGTAACACACCAGAGCACGGTTTTTATTACCTTCTCTATTTGTTCCGTACATGTAAAACAATGACCCCGAAATATCTTCTAAACATAAATTCCATTGAAATCAATAAAAGTCGACAGGTATAATATGGTACGAAGGTGTGCTTTAATATTTCAGCATTTGGTGACTCAATATTTCAGCAGTATATCAATACAACGGCATTTCTTTCCGAGAATGACTATTTATAGTGCAAGGTTGTATTCTTTTGTCGACTGCGTTTTGAATGCTACTACCGACGGCTGCACAGTGACGTAAATAATAATAATAATAATAATAATAATAATAATAATAATAATAATAGGGGGGACCGGGGCTAGTTGGACCCCGGGGTAAGTTGACTCCCCATCAATTTATGACAAAGTAACTATGGGGTGAAAGAATTGATTGTGCCATTTTGTAAAGTGACCGTATCCAATAGTGCTAAGAAACCGTCGGCAATGAGTCCAAATGAAATAATTTAGCATCTTAGAGTAACTTTATTAAAGAGACTTGATGGGGGGGAGGGGGGGGGCAACTTACCCCGGGCTTCAACTAGCCCCGGTCTCCCCTAATAATAATAATAATAATAATAATAATAATAATAATAATAATAATGATAATAACCCATCCATCCATCCATTTATCCATCCATATTTCCATACAAGGCCTGATTGCTTGTTTTCTTTGCAGAGGTGTTACATCATCTCTTCCCAGAAGGATCACTGCGCAACTGCTGGGCACTAAAAACCACGTATTTCTATGACTGGGTTCCCAAACCTAGATCGATCTAACAGGATCGGTCCATCTGCAAGGGGTTTCTCGCTCAATTGCTTTCAGCTTAAGCGGCATAGATGTCTGGCACGCCGACTAAAGCTGTTAAACGATAATTAATTACCCCCTATCAGCTTCAGTATGCGTGGCAGACATCTAAACCGCTTAAGTTGACTGCAATTTATCAAAAATCCCCTACGAGATAGATCGATCCAAAGTTAGTAAGAAAGGGTCTGGGAATGGTCCCTATGTCCCGGTATAATAACAAGTAAGACTGGGAGAGAAAGATGGAAAGTCTTTATGTATTCTGTATAAAGAGCCACATAGATTCCAAGGCATCCTTGTCTGTAAGGCGTTAATCAGTATGGATGGACTAAAAGGCGATTAATACATGCATTGTCAAAAGAAATTGTGTTATCTTAATAGAAACACATCACTTATATGGGTCATGTATATAAATGGCCCATATGACGAGACAGTGAATTTCGTTCAAACTCAAATTAAAAACTTTCGGTGTAAGTGAAAGGCATCAAAAACGAGATCAAAATCCATTTTCTCTCTTCCTGGTGCAGCATCTAGCACACACACACACACACACACACACACACACACACACACACATACATACACACACGCGCGCGATCTCGCACACACAGAGAGAGAGAGAGAGAGAGAGAGAGAGAGATATGAAATTTTGTTCATAAGTATTTCCAAAAGGAAATAATTATTTGAAGTTTAAAACACAAGTCTAAGAGATATATTACTTTAATGGTATAATTTTTATGCCATTTTTTATTTTCCAGGCTGGAACCGGCTATTTGCACGACCGAGTATGAAGCGAACGCAACATTAAAATCATGCCAAGTAACTACCCTGTGACGGCTATTTGTAAATAATTTTATATTATACAAGTGTGTTTTGAACTAAAACTTTGATTAGCATACTCGAATTCAAATTCTGTCGCTTCTCATTCTTGTGAATCACAAAAGATGCCACATATTTGGCAAACGTATTTATTTTGACTTGAGAGAGAGAGAGAGAGAGAGAGAGCATGTCCCAATCTTCATAATATGCAAAAATCAAGGTACTCACCAAAATAAGTTTTCTTTTGTGCCATAGTTGTCCAAAAGTACATTAATCGAATATATTATTCAAGAGTCGGCAAAGAGTGTCATTCCGATTCAACTTGCAATATACAAACTGAGTTAGTGGGATGCGAGAACCGGATTTTAAATCGCTTCCGCTATTTTTAGATGGGGAATACCGACATGGGGATTCCCCATGCGAAGGAGTACCAAAGGCCGTGTTTTTTTCTCCATTAAATACTTCAAACTGACGCTATCACTGACATCGTATATCTAGCTTCCGCATTTTCTTCATTCAAAATTGTCAAAGAGAAAAAAAAGGGATTCAAGAAATTAATAACAAAGTAGATTAATGCACATTTGGGGGTAACTTTTCAATGTTTTTGCCATATAAAAAACCTTGCACAAACGTTTCAGAAATGCGGAAGATTAGGGAAAGTTTTCAGGTGAGTTTTTTTAGATAAGTTTTAGAAATCACGATGCAAGTATGTCATAGTTTTATCTTTGACAATACGTACTAAATAATGATTCATCGTAACTCTTCAGTGACCCCAAAATTTTTCTGCACGATGATTCATGGAAGTGTGAAGGACGTTGGACATCACTGGAGGAACAAGAGCAGTTCTGTAGTGGTTTTACTTCTCCACCTCTGATAATCATTTTTCAATGCCATTAATCCACATTTACTCTACCTGTATCTTTATAGGCACTGGATGTAAAATGTAAGTTTTTTACCAGGCAAAGCTACTCAAAAACGCACTTTTAGACATTACTAAGGATTGGCTGACAACATACCACCACCGTCTCGTCAATATTATCAAATAAAATAGTTTAATTTTCATTTGATTATAAATATGAAGGCTGCGAACGAGTGACATCAGCGTAAACCACTTCGCATTTTGTCAACGTCGCCAGAAGTGAATGAAAAGATAATTTTCAACGAATTATGACGCATAATGTCAACCAATAGAAATAAATCATCTGGCCCGTAGCCAAAATTTTTGGGGAATGCCTACACAAATATTTTTATTCTTAAACTATTGTTCATAGAGACAAATAATATGATTATGATTAATATGATTAAAAATACTTCACAAACATACAGTATTTTACTTAAAGCTCATGAATTTTATTGTTTCAAGGATACAAGAATTTTTCGGTCCTCACTGCGGCGGATTGGGTCAATCCGCTTGCATCACCAATATCAATAAAGTACATCTTTGAAAATTGAGGTATGTGTATCGTCTGTTTTAGCTTAACCATGATCATGATTTCATATTAGCGACTCAGTAAGGATTTTCTTTTTCAAATTTCCTCTGGGCGTTGTGAATCAACTTGGAGGGCTTCACAAATTTTTTCTCTTTTTTGACATCATCATATCACTTTACTTCCTTCCTTTTTCAAATCCAGTTTCTTCAGCTCGAGGCAAAAAATAATCATACTTTTAGGTAATTTCATTTGTATAAGATCAGGTTTTACGCCAGCTTTATGCTTATTTTTGGAAAGAATCCATACAAAAGGAAGATTTCCTAAATAATCATCGTCTTATTAAAAAAATTCATCTGTACTTTACTTTCGTGCTACCAAAGTGAGTATATAGGTAATAAATACTGTCATAAGGAGGGTAAGAGGCGTTTGGAACCCCCCCTCCTTTTTTATATCCCAGGTTCGTTTTGTGCTCAGTCAGTGAGGAATTAGAAATCTGTTCATTCGCTTTCTATGGACTGCGTGTTGTTTTGTCCATTCTGACATTGTTAAAAAACACACATCGGTCCAGCTGACACTCCATATAAAACATAATTTCAGCATTCGTAAAAAATCTATCTCCTGTGTAAGACAATAATACATGT